CGGTTACCAATGTACAGTATTTGATGAATAATGGATTGACAAATATTTTTCTTGCTTACCAAAAAACTCTAGTTTTAAAAAAAGTATTGTGTGTTTTTGAAAGTTGTAGGTCGGTTTAAAAGAAAAAACAGTTCCCAAGGAATTTTTACCCCAGTCTGCAAGTAATAATTTCAGAAATGGATATTAAGGAAAGCGCACCCAAGAGTAATTTAGTGTTCTTTTTAGTATACAGTTAATTCACTTAAGTTGGGAACAGCAATTAATATCCAGGTATGGTGCCTGATTTTCTGCACGCTTTAATTAGGCACGCCACATTCCACTAGGATGCCCGAATAGGTTTGCTGTTGGTCGTTAGAGGCAGACATCTTGTGCACGGTAAATAAATTCACTTGAGAAAAAATCGGTTCTTGGTTTTTCGGCGGTTAACCCTAACAATTTTTCTGCGAACCGATTTTCAGTGCAGATTTTAAATAGTGGTTTTTACACACGAATTGTTTTGATTAAATGGATGACGATTCAGAGTCACTTAGGATGCTTTCTGTTCTACTCTTTCGGTGGGGTCTACAAAAACGGTCAAGCATTCGTCTGAACTCTGTCTATGCTACTTACCTTCAGCTTAACTCATTCTTCCTTTTTATCAGGAAAACAGTATCAGCTAGCATTCGAGGTCAAATAAAAGTTCATTTCTTTCCGACGTTTGGGTCAAGCCTAAAGGGCGTCACGGGAATTAGTTATATAGGTGTAAACAAAGCCAGTGAAGGGGACAAGTTATCTAAAAATCCAAAAATGCCGATACTCCTCAAGTCGTATCAACAATAGGCAGTGACACCCCTTAAATATGGAAGATGAAAAGTATTCATTCTGGGCACCATCTTTTGAATAATTCAACTCAAGCCCCTAAACCGTTTCCCCAAATACTTAGCACTGAAGAGCTGAAGTGATGAACGTGTTTCGCTCTTGTTAGGCTGGTTAGCATCGCACATTCCCGTCCGTGCTGGGATTCGAATCTCCACACCCTGAGGCGGGCTTGCTACTAAATCTCCGCCTTTTAACACATGCGTGATTTACCCCCTCAGAAAAGACTGAAGGGTTCATGCGTGGGCAGCATGATTCCCGCTGCCGGTAAAGAGGTAGTTTCATCCATGCAAGTAGTTGTGACCTACTGCGTGGTTCGGTTCGTTTAGCTCTGGTGATCTAGGATAACTGCCTGTCAACTGATAGGATGGAAATTCTGTTTCCTGTACGGTTATGAATCTTTTCATCGCGCAAAATTAAAAATTTATACACTATTCCTCTTTGTTTACAGATTTTGTCCCCGATGATGTGATAGTATACTATGCGCCTGGAGATTCTGGGAGATGGGCAATCTAAATGGCTCAAATAAATGCATAGTCGACTTGTGGCAAAAGCTTGGAAACACCCAACACCGTACTATTCCAAATGTGAAGTGTCACCAGTAGCCATTTTCCAATAACATGGGGGCGGCGAGTTTGGAACCAGACCGGCGACCTTTCGCTTTTATGCTACTTAGCCACGAACGGCTTGGCAACAGCGTAACGCGCGCTTGGACGGGATGCAGCACTAAATCCAGCTGACGTCACGCGACCTGGGTGACGCACACACAGAAGGAAGGCGGATGGGGCTTATTGGCATGAGAATCACGGGTTTGAATAATCATAAATGGATTGAGATTTACACTAGTGGCGAATTGAAAGGATGAAGCAACTGTGCTTTTGAACACGGGAGAATCGAATCCACAGGATAAATGTCTGATACTTCAAAGGGTGTGGTTATTTATATGGCGGTAAACTTAGCAGTTTCGGTTGATTCCTCCTTGTGTCCCGTGGCTTTATTAATATAAGAAGTTTTCTTATTGGGATCGACCCTCATTAGCACTAAAACCTGGTTCTCTCCGTAAGTGAAATTTGACGGAAATCACTGTCGTTTCAAGCAACAATTTCCATAAGTTGTAAAACAGGGAATTCTCACGGGAAAACCTTGTTCAACCCAAATAGTTTTGTTTCCAGTGTAATGTACTTCTAAACATTTGTTACTAATCACCAACTAAGCCGTCACAACCTACTGGACAGGAAAGTAAAGTCTCATATGCACACAGGTATTAAAAACTGAAAATTCGCACGCGCCTTTTCGAACTTTGATCGACATTCACTTACTATTACACAGTTGTATACAAACACCACAAAGCAGCTCTACAAGTTCCGTAATAAACTTCACCTTTCACGAGATGTGAGGTGGGGCTTCGATATGACCACGGGCTACTCACATGCCTCAGAAAGAGTATGCACCGCTACACACCTTTCCCATTTAAGGGTCGCATGCATGCTACCGATTTCCAGTTGCCTCCGTTAGTCGGTCTCAGCAATTGGTTTCCTCGGCAGACCTTCGAATGTACCACGCAACTTCCGAAGCTGAGTACCGTTTATTCTTTTCGATCCTCGACAGCCCTGAAATGTCCAGATCTTCATCCGATGTTAGGCAACGACAAATGGGCCTTGCTACCAACTGCTCCAGTTACGCGACCCAAGTCCACTCCTTTCAGGATTCTGATGATCCTTCTTTTTGACCTTCGTACCTATGAGGGATGGTTGAGCTTTTCTACTCGCCGTTTTCTGTCTTGTCTTTCCTGAACGGTGGTCAAGTTTTCTGGAGTTCTCCTACTTTCTTTTCCTGGCTCCCCCATAGACAGGCGTGTTGTCGGCCACAACCCAATTTCCTGATCAACTGGAAAGCGAGAATGTCACCCGTATATCAGCATGGATGGAGGCTTGCCTGTGGTTCTCTGTATCGACGTACAATGTGGTAACGACACCATCGGCAAATACACTTTCCACTCACCTCAATTGGTTCACAGCCACTCAGTTGTTCGGTTAGGCCGTTTGTTTACGGATCTTAGGATGCTATTCTTAGCCGTCTGATGCCAAGGCTCTGCAAGGAACTCCCGGACTCTTCGCTCTCACAGCATGTTTGCTGATCCGTCAGGATCATTTTTGGCACCGGTGGTTGGCTACCATGTGGTGCTTTACCACTGATCGTCGTTACCCGTTGATTTGGTACGGCTACCATCTCGACAAACCACGACACGTGTTCTCTCATTGTCACGATTTCCGCTGGTCGTTACCGGAAGGGGGCCCATGACAACAACGGACCAGAACTCGCCGAAATCTGATGAAGGGATGGGTTTCAGGGAGCAAGTTGCTCCTATCGTAGCCCCTTTCATCAGCGTCGCTTACAGGCCACTACATAATCAATTACCTCACTTCTCATCGCGAACCACTGAGCCCTCTTCCGAAGTAGGTCCTATATCTTGGTGAACCATGTGTACCACCTTGTGGTATTCGATGGTCAACTTCCGTCTCAGGAAGGAGGGTATCACGGGCAGCACAACATCATAATCGGTTGGGTTCCCGAAACTTATGCCAGCTTCACTAAGACAACCCATAGAAGTGACTCTGGAACCTTCCGATTTTTTTTTGTCTTCCTACCCGTTCTCAACAAGGTGGCTGCAACCTCCAGTATTACAGGATCCTGTCACTGTAGTTGCACCAAACTTCCGAGATACAGCTCGGCGACGAAAGTATTGGCGCCCCTTCTTGGGGCCTTATCTTCAGCCTTTGATGTTGACAGCAAATTAGCCAGGTGATTTTCGTAACATGTCACGTACCGAATCGTAAAATCGTATACTTGTAGCCTGAGCGCCCTGGGCGCGAGTTTGCATGTGAATATCTGATGATCCCTGACCCTGGGCAGTTTGAGGTTCACTTGCTGGTCCAGTACGTATCCTGTTTTGACATGTTCTGAGGCCTCATGCGCTTCCCTTGTCCGTTCGGGTTTCCGGTTTTGATGCATACATTCGTATAGTAGGGCAGCAACCGTGTTGAAAATCTTGACAAACCAGTTGTGATATACTCCCGTAGAGAATTAAGGAATGCACAGTCTTAGAACATCACCAGATTATACATGTAGTGTGCACCATGGAGGACTTGAAACTACCCCATATAGAACCCTGAATGCAATTCAGTGCCTCTAGTTGCCAGTCGACACGTTTGATATACCGTATTATGTGACCAGTTGGAAGCAATGTTAAGTCCGCTTTCATTTTTTCCCAATTTACTACACAAAAATTGGCCACATCGACTGAGGCCATTCGCTTCAGCTATTAGCCAAACGTGGACATATGATAATATGCCCAGGTTGTTCCAACTGTCTCACCGACTGACAGAACTAGTGCTAACAAATCCCAAATTAGTCTCAGTCGATCACAGTGGGACTAACTGCTCCACATCAAAATCTCACAATAAGGTCCATGGTTGCAAGTAAATTCGAATGATGGATTTGTCTAAATGCACTCGTTTGCGTACCAATTTTGTTTGTATGGGTAGTCACTCGTACCCCGTCCTAATCCCTCATTTATAGTGTCCGCCTTGTTTCACTCAACTCGTAATCCAGCTAGGGCTGTTCCTTCTTGCTGAAAGGTCACTGGAGCGCTTTTATAGATGGTCTTGTTAATTTTCCTGGCAGTGAACACAACGCAATGATGCCAATTACAATACCTTTTCACACTACTTTTCGATATTCAAATCTTAACTCACGGCACTTTTCCTGTTCGTTCTTGTATGGCCTGCCATCTTACAAAAACTAGTTTTTAGTGCTAAACATCCTGCGGCCGAAATTTTCCTATTAAATAAATTTTGTTTTATAACACTCAAGCGGCGCAGTATATATTTCGACGATTCAAATTTCACGGTAACAAAATATGTTATCTGTTCCACTCACGCTATTGTTTAAGACGCGAGACAATTGATTTGTCCGGGAAAGTAATAGTGATATGCATTGCTCCATACCCTTGAGAAACGACAAATTCGCCTGCAGTTTCTGTATTACATAGGGTTCACAGAGGATGGTCTAGCTTCCTCGTCAATTCATTTTAATGGTTACATCTGTCAACACTTTTATTCAACTATTTCCATACTTCTGTATAGAAAACACAAGCTTCGACAGAAGACAAAATCAGTTCAGTCCCGGGTAACTGCACCCACCCTCGAGATCCTTTCACAAATTTCCAAGAGGTTTCATCCACGACGGATCTTGAGACACACAAAGCACCTCAGCCCGAGTCTATTTTTTATGCCCGTAATCACGTGAAAAACAGCGATCCAGAGAAAATCGATTCCCAATCGGAACGTCTCAATGAAATGGGAGTGAGAGGCGCAGGTGAGGGTGTGGAAGGATACCATCAGTCAACCTTCGCAAGCCAATCTGATACCACCGAAACTAACCAGGACAAGTTATTTTTAGCTGGAACCACAGAAACGCAACACCTGAAACGGTGAGTTCTTGACATGACTTGAGGTCTTGGTTAACGGAAGTACAGATATAGCATGTTAGTGCTAGTAGGTGGAGTTGCGTTTTACGTCTGAAAGTAGGAGGGAAATATTGTCACTTAGGGCTTCCGGTGAAGCTATCGTTTTTGTCTAAAATGGAATTGAAGCAGGAACTTCAATCATGGCTCTTTTCAATCTCTTGTGTATGCGAAACAAGACCAAAGTGTGTACCGGATAGTTGTTGCGGTTGTGTGTATTATTGCTTTGCGGATACTGTTAAGATACTTTTGATCATTCGCGTTTTCACAGAGAGCGTTGTTTTCTGTTTTAGTCACTCATCTGCCTGTGATCTCCAGGTCACCAATATGGACCCGGAAAACCCTACAGGAGAGTCAGTTACTAGTCTGAACACAAACTCTAAGATGCAATCCACCCTCACAGTCCTCATCAAGTGCAAACCGTCTAATTCCGACGCACAAAGTGTGTCTCTCAGCAGCCCAAACAAACCTTCTTTGGAAGACCACCCGCCCGTCAAGTGTAGCAGCAAAGAACTGTTGACATTGGATTTGCGCAACACGGACGCAATAGTGACTTCTTACTCAACTTCTTCCAGTCCGGTTCCCTCAGCCCATGCCGGTTACAAAACAAGTGTGTACAATCGACGTCGCGGTCGCGCCCCCGGATCACCTGTAGTTTATCGTGGAGCCCCAAATATGAGATCCTTACTGTCACACAAGCTAAACAAATCTTGTTACCTCCACCCGGTCACCAATTCAGAAACAATCAATAAGACCGTTTTATCAAATGAATTCGGACAACCGTGGAAACCTGTACATGAAGGAGGTCACCGGTCCCTAACAAGCCCGGCTCTACTGCCCAACCCTTTGTTTCCCAATGGAAGCTGCCTCTGCCTGCAACCGATAGATTCAGGAAACCTACTTGTCAATCAACCTATGTGCTGGTGGGTTCCAGGAATGAGTTGGAATCAGTATTCGGAGGCGGCCAATTCATTGGGAAAAAACTCTGATTTCCGGCAAATGATAGCCGTTGCCCAACCGAAATTTACGGATTATCAGGTTTTGGGGACAAACACGAACAGTGGACATGAGCAACAATTTACGCCTTCCGGAAATGACGCCGGTAGGTTTGATTGTATAGCTTTTTCAACAGAATTTTTCAAAATTCGAGTCCTATATTGTTTGTGGAGTGCAGTGAACTTGAATCCCATCTCTTAATTTGAGTTTGTGTCTAGCCCATAACTATCAGTATAACCCCAGCGAATCCAGCATCGTTTTGTCCCATACTAAACGTGCACTACCTAAGAAGTTAACCTTTTATTTAAGTCCGTCAGTATAGCTCCAGTAGAAATAAGTTCGGAGCTAGGGAAACAATGCATTGACGCTGACACTGATGCTGGCTCCATTTCAACTAACAAGAGTCACAAGATTCGAACTCGATTTCAGAGAATCGCCGTTTTCACAATCAAACGGTGGGATGAGCGATGCTTGACACAAGACAGTAAACAGGTCATCATTAATTTTGCGCCGAATAATCAGCAAACATAATGAATTCCACGGTTACTTTAAGTGTTGGAAACATCAAGACTCATAAACTGCGCTGACTTGGTTTTATGCCGCGCATCTGAACTTATCACCGTTTTGGTGGCATACTGTTCTGCATGTACTCCCAAAATAGATCGAGCAGTGCAGAGTTAGCGTGTGACCTAAAGGATCTCAGTTGGATTTAGATGAAACTCCCGCTTGCTGTATTCTTCAGCTGATTGTACTACACGATGTATATTAGATCAAGGAGATTGAAAGGTTTGTGAATATTATTTGACTTCGGATGACAACAGTTTGCTTGCAGTTGATAGACGACTTTGGCAAATATATTGCTGACAGTTTTCATGGGTGTGCTTGTGGTGAATTTCGCGGATGCAGACTCCGTAGACCTTTTGTAGCATTGCTTCCACTCTCTTTCCTCCCCTGAAATCTTTATGTCAGCAATTATTCTGTGGGTGAGTGCCAGTATTGCATACACATGACTCTATTGTACTAGGAAATGGTGAATATTGCTGCACCTGCCATCGTTACCTGGTGTGTTCTCTGTGACCGATGCCAGGAATCTAATCAATTTGAACTAAGTCCTACTGCAGCTCATCAGATCACCTGTACGGCTCTGTCTCCACGAGTGAAGTATGGAAGCCTTAGTGGCTAAGTTGCTACCTGACTAGGTGAAAATTCGTGGATCGAATACAGCCTCAGCATTTTGACCACTTCCCTATAGGGCCGGACAACTTGACAGCACCTCGGCGCTCGTCTTTCCTCCGGGTAGCATGGCATCAGAATATTGCGGTTGAAATATTATTATTATTATTAGAATGGAAAAACGCTTCAAACTACTACTTCACAAGCGCATTTCAACAGAAAACTGTTTCCTCAGCGGAACCGTTTGGTGGACTTTCGATAAGCGGTCCCAGTTTTCGAAATCCCATACAGTAACAAAAACAACAGAATACTTCTGCAATATTAGTCAAGCTGTTAGTATCGATGACAGGTTTTTGTAGTTGAACGACCGATTATTTCACGCAATATGCTGTATGTATACTTGCTTCAGAAAAAGGGCCGCAGAGTTCGTTATTGGTGCTCTGAAAGCATAGGTAGAGTGCAGATTTCCGCATAATCTCTTCCTCCTATTCTCAGCACAACATTAAGTTGGTTTTCTGTGGTGAAAAACGGGTCACCGTTTTTGTCCAGCCATGCATTCCGCAATAAATGAAAAGCTGATCATTTTTAATCCGAATTCTCAAAATGCCCTGCCATCTGTACGCAACTGGTTTATTGCCAATAAATTTAGTTCATTGCCTACAGTACCACTCTGAATTTCTGGTGGTCAATGCATCCATTGTGATGGCTAACAAAACTATGATTGACACAGCTTATCCAATCGAATCGCACATCCCGATTACCAGCATCCGGTTCTTTTTCGCACACTGGTGCACTGAGATAAGATTGAAAAAGTCCGGCCAGTCGGTAGATTCAGACTGACGCTGCAGTTCACTCCAACCAATTGCCTCTTCGGGCGAACAAAATTGATGTTTTTGTACGTTTAGTCAATAGCAAACGAGTGAATCAAATCAATTAAGCATGAATGGATTTAATCGAAACTGATAAGCTTTCAAGTTCAGGGGGGTATTGATGACTATAGAAGGCTTACCAATTTGGCAAGCATAATTAAACCAAGATCAACGGATTATGCGTAAATTTAAGGCTTTCAGGAATACAAAATTCTAAGACTTTCCCGGCCGATCATTCTCCTTTCCTGGTGCTCTTAATCTGGTTATGCCTGGCGAGGTCCCGTTATACTGATGAAAGTGAAAACACAGAACAAACATGTATTTTTAACAACCCGGAAATTCCGGTTCACCTGTTGAACATAAAATACATGATCAAAAGTGCTTTCTGAACGTGGGGTTGATCGAAGGAACCAAAGGTTTCTATTCATAAGTAGTACATTACAAGGATATGCATGTATCGCGATATTTCAAATATCGTAGCGACTGAAACATAAGGCGGCCTGGGGCAGCATATTCAGTTGCCTGAGAACATCATAAACGAGAGATTCAGCTGGGTTCCAGGTGAGTCTCCCGAAAAAAGCCAACTTAGTTTGTAAATGAGTGTATATTAACCAATGGTTTCATTCGAAGAAGCGTCTACCACAAGAAACTGAAACAGAAAACATGCGCGTTGTCGCAGCATCCTTCTGAAAATCAGTTAGTCATTTTACTTGGTTGGTTTACACACTTTGGAAGTTATTTTCGGGAGACAATCCGGTACTTAGATTGGGCTGCAACTGGGAAAGTGAACAAGGACAAAATCGCGCTCGTTAATTCATTCCTTGATAGTTTGCAGAATGGAGTCAAGTCGTGGGCAACGAATGTTGTCAATCTCAGGCATGTCGCTCTGCTGTCTATCCTCAAATATAACTTGATAAACAATATTCTTACTGAAAGATCTTTGTGGCTCAAGACTGCACTTCCATTTCTGCCAGGCTTTAATGGTTCTGCAATCAGCTGCTGCTGCATTGGGAATCTGAGGCTATTTCGTTAACTCATGTCTTTTCACGTTAACTGTTATTCCAAGTTTGCAAGTGATGCCATTCAGGCAGGTCGTTAGGCTCAGCATGTTTCAGACATGACCAAACAATACTACCCAAAGCGGCTAAATCGGAGAGTCGGTAATCACACGTTGGGTTCCAACATATCCCACCGATTTGGTACGGGGCAAATAGGCTCATCGAGCCTGTTTGGTAGGGTGAAAATAGAACGTTTTGCAATTGTTCGGCAAGATTAGTCTTTAGTTACCTTTCATCCAATCATTTCCTAAGATAACTGACTTGAGGTGAGTTGTATTCCAACCAGTGTAACACAACAATGAGTATCTGTATTTTACCATGGATAATGGAGTCAGAAGCCCCTTCAAGGATCGAATTCACTCTTCAACGAACGTCTTTATAATGGTAGATGTGGAAGGCCCCCTATGGTGGAGAATTCATACAAATATCTGTGGGAGAATTTTCTAGCCATCGCCCTTGGGAATGGCATGGCGAATATAAATATTGAGTCATTGGTGAATTTCAAACCTGACGATGGACCACTTAACTGTTTTCACATACCATCATTTTCAAGGATTTAGACTAACCAAACTAAACACGATGAGACAGTAGTAATGAGTTGAAAGCCATCCCACCTACCCCTAATTTACCTGCAGTACATTATTTCAAATGCACCAGTAATACATCGTTTTCGAAAAAGTTTGGTGACAATCGGTAGATTTATTCCTGGGCAGCGTTTCGCTTTTGATACAAAAGCTTCGTCAGGCCAAAGGAGAACCAATGAGCTAAGTCAAGCCAAATCTTCGTTGGGTGTCAACCGAGGGATTTTAGTGTGTTAGTGTGGTTAAACAAGTGTGGGGTCGGTGGGGAAACCTGCATGTGTTTGGGTTCAGCCTAGGGTCTAGTTCTTCTGGTTCGGCTCATTTGATTGTTCCTCTTGAACTCCGTTTGAACCTTCTGTCAGCCTGTGTGGGTGAGCTAGTGCTAAGATAGTTGTATAAGAGGGATGCTGTGACCTTTGGTCGGTTGGGGTTTCCATCCCCACCCCCCGGCTTTTTTTCTAATGATCCTAAATGGACTGACAACCACACTGTCACATGTCAACTCGACTTATCTAAGACCGCTTTCCATACGCTCGCTAGCTCCACACCCTCGGCTCTATTCACGCTGTGACGCTTAGTAATTTCCACTGCCTCGGCTGTCAGCCGCTGTGGTATGAAGCGCAGTCCTCGTTTTAAAACTTCCACATTCTTCAGATCTATTCTATGTCCTGCGTCTAAGGCATGTACCGCCATCGCTGGGTCTTTGAACAGCTGTTAGTATTCTTCTGCATTCCTTGAGGGGTTGTTAATTCTTCTTTTATGCTCACCAATCACCTGGCAGTTTATCCTATATAACCCTTAGCGCAATCGTTGCAGTTAATTGGTTCTCCTTCCGCCTTAGTCGCTTGGCCTGACGAAGCTTTTGTGTCAAAAGCGAAACGCTGCCCAGCAATAAATCTACCGATCGTCACCGAACTTTTTCGAAAAAGATGACTACTCGATCGGTTCCAAGTATTTATCACCCGTAATAAACTTTAATAAAGTCACGATGTGCACAGAGATTCGAAACAAGAATAATGTTCAAAGACCAATCGAAATTTGCCTGATATTAAAACTGAGATACTTTCAGGTTCATGATTTGAATGACAACCCTCTTTTTTAACGATTGTGGTTAGTTTGATTTGTACTGCATCTATGAACAACCTATTAAATTTCAGGAACAATCGTTCTGCAGCCATCCTAAGCAAAATACTAACCCGGGTACTTGATATCCAGGACGCCATTGTATATAAGTACAAATTGAAGATTCTAAGTCAGTCAGGGTAACCCCGCACTAAACCTAGGAATATTATTTCGGAAGACTGGTGGCCATCGTTGGTTTTCCCAGAGGGAACTTGGCTAAGCATACTGACTATCGTTTCAAGCTAGCATTTTTTCACTTGCATGAACAACACATATCTGATAGATTTCAACCTTACTGGAATCGACGATGGAATCGAAATGGTCTTCGGTGAGGAAATGCATATTTGGGAGGGGGGGGGCGGATTTGGAAGATTTAACATCTTACGGCGGTTTGTATTGTCGTGTGGCGCTTGAATTGCTGTCAGACGCTCAATATTAGTGTTGGCTAATCTTGCCGACACTTTGAAACCCATTTGGTTTTCGGACACGCGAATGTTCGCTTTATTTCTCCAGACGACCGTGAGATGTAGAGAAGGCTGCTCAACAAGCGCCACAGTTTGTCAGAGACTGAAATCAATGCCCTCGAGTAAACTCCTGCTACTGAAGATTATTTATCCTGAAAATTCGATAAGCACTGTACAGATGTTTCGTTCCCATTAGAACTCATCCACAGTGCGCATTTCACGAAAATCGAAGAGGTCTCAAACTCGCGACCCCCCGACCACCGTTTGAACAATCATCCGGTAGGCAACGGACAGGTGCTCAGTAGCGCGATGAGCCTTCACTTCACTTTATCGACGTTACAAAGCCTTAGGGTGCTTCGTGACCAGAAAGAAGCATCTTCACCATCTGGGTGTGAGAGATTTCTCGCCTATCACGAGGGCGCTTATGCTTGGATGCACTCGTGTCAGTTTTATGGCGTAAACATCTCCCTGCTATGGTGCAGATAAACAACTGATGTACAGTACACAGGAGGCTTAACTCGCGTAGGTGTGCGGGGGCGTTGGACAAATGAGGACACATCAGGTTTGTCAGTAAAAGTCGAAACGAACACTTTTTGCGCTTGGATGGTATAATGCTACTTGGGAAGGGATGTAGTGTTTCATTCTTTGACAAAGTGCCCAGCGTACCCATTTGTCCCTTTTGGAATCTGACCGGTTTTTCAACGTAGCATTTTGACAGGCAGCACAAGTTACGAGGTGTGCTCATTCGTTTTAATAACCAGTGAAGCAGTCATGGACCAGATAATCTAAAATGTGGTTGAAAAAGCGGAGATATTGCAGATATGACAGAATTTGTATTTTATAATTTATTCCCACGCTTAACATTTTATACATTTAAACAGTGTCTCACCACTGAGCACCCTTTGTTTGTGTAATGAATGAATTGTTTAGGTGGAACAACATGTGAACAAACGTGACAAATCCTGTCAAAACGTCCATAAACGAAGACCTTAGAGGGTCTGGTCTTCATACAAATGGGACTGTTTAGTCAAGGTAACGACGTAGAAATACCTAGCCGCCTAAGAGGCTGAGCTACAACGGCTTGTAACAAACACTTAGTAACATAGGTTTGGTTGAGTCTACATTTTAGTTTCTTTCAAACCAGACATTTTGTGCTTTTCCGTGACACCTCCTGAACGGTCACATTCATACTGAATTATCGGCAGCTAGGGAGACAAATTCTGAGCACATATGCTACCACTTGGGTCTGCGCATGAATTGAAACAATGAAAGTAAAGTTTAATAGAGCATTAGTCTCGTGTTGATTCTATTTAGAAGGACAGACCTCAGAACAATTCCAAAAACAACTATACCGGTTATCTACTGAAGCGTAATAACACTGAAAACTGAACTGATGAGATAACAAGATATAATGTGCAGTGATATGACGCACAGCGACAAACTGTCAATATGAGAAGAGACTGTGGAGGAGTATCGGTATAGATCTTCTTTCTCGTCCTTACACACCATTCACTTTGCTTGCGATTTCTGGCCGACGGAATGTAGATAGCGAAGTGAACGACACTTTGCTACAACCGTTTTTATAAGATTTTGAGAACCCAGATGATTGTGGTCATAGATTAGATTAAAAAGGCTTGACGTAGGTTGCGGAACAAGAGAGTGGACCAGTGTGAAGCGGTTTCCCTCACTATTACTAATGTTTATGCGTCTACACAATAAACCTCATGCGGTATGAGTTGGAATTCTATGGGTATTCCATCGTACAAGTGTAAATCCCAAATGTCTTTACGTTATCCAAATGGAAACTGCTTATTTTCGTCGATCTGTCAAGTGTTCGCGTCAGTTTCAGGGATTCTTGAAGGGACGGGTTATGTATCAATATAATCACAAACACACCACAAAGTAGTTTTATGAATACATTACCCTTTTACTGTAATACCACCAAGTTCTCTATACGTGAATGTTTTCTAAATGGAACTAAGAGTCCCAAAATAATAGAATCACCGCTTTGCGTTTTGATGGGACAATTTCGCCTCAGGTAGAAAAGCTAAGGTGGCCTCAACTAACTTCCATTTAAAATCATTTAGTGAATGGTAAGTAGGCGAGAAAAATTATCATCAAGTATCCTTCGCTGTGCATTTCAAATGCATTTCAATAGCCGCTAGAGCTAGGCCGTTATACTCTAATACAACCTCTGGCTGAAATATAACAGAGAAGGGTTGATACTTCTATGAGATGTGTTAAAAACCCCATAGTGCAATACAACGGATAATAATAGTAACATTCAGATCACGGAAGATTGAAATTTTGAGGAATTTAGATCTGTAATACTTAGATGGTTTTTGTATTTGTTGCCTACAACGCTTAGGTAATTAATTTCTATTCGCCACATTACAGTCAGTTGATTCTGTATCGCTCCAACTGTATCGCGGTTCAACTCCATTTACTCTTTTTTTTCTCGATTAGAAGACGCTCACGGTCGTGGGTCAACAGTTAAAGTTGGAGCTTATCGTGCACTTACACCACTCATCCAGTTGTTTACAAAAGGACAGGATGCTAGCAGCCAACCCGTTCCTGTGAACACTGGGAATCACCAGAAGGATGCACTGGATACAACAGGACAGCAACTTTCGGCTGACCTTAGCCTTGAGGAAGCAAGCCAAAAGGTTGCATCAACCAGGACTCTTTTCGACACGCAAGCGATTCACCCTGAAAGAAATGATGGGTTGATTGGTGAGCTAACTGGCAAGGTAAACGATCATAACTGCAATCTACCTGCGTCAGGTGATGTGACGAGCTCCGCTGCCGTTCGAAGTGTAAACTGCTTTGCGAATTTGCCTGGAATACAATGGAACTACAACGCCAATAATCTTATCCCGACTCAAACAGACACTCATTTAGTTGGATATGGTAATCCAGTAGATCCATGTGTTTTATCTACTCAGTTTGTATACTTCTATAATACGGACGGCCAGCTGTTTGCCATGCCATCTAACGCACTGTTTTATCCAACCGCCCCCTTGCCTGCCAACAACAGCAACAGCATGCACAATATTGATTCTTCCTTCAGTAGTTCATCAGGCTTCATGCCATCAACCAGTGGCGATGACCGGTACTTGATGAACGATTCAAAAGAAAAGGTCACTGGAGAGCATTCAAACGTATTATTTGATAGGATGGCTGATTCTGGTGCTGTGCAACAAAATTTTGCTAACATACCAAGTTCTTGGCCGACAATAGCGTTGCCGATTGAAGGACCAACGTCCAATCCGGTTATGTACTCAACCAACACTGGACAAAACTCCGCATATAGACCACTGCTTTTAAACACAGCCACTGTTCCGTTGTTTTTCACACCCCCTTACGGGACAAACACAGCTGGGGCGACGAATCCATCGTCCGTGAATGGACCATTTAGCTCGCATCTTCATAACGTTTTGGAAGTGAGCAGAAAACCTAACACTGAAACGGTTGCAGATCGTCCAGAAATCACGCACAAAGGACATTATACAATAAATGAGACCGGACGACTTTCAAAAGGTTATGCAGATAGTGAGGGTCTACTTGGTCATGCTACATCTGCCCCATATGCTGGATCAAACATCCCCACTCAAGGCGATACAAAACTAAGAAATTCTGGGGAGGAGAGTGGGCGTATTAGCTACCATAGTACGTCGACTACAAATCGAGCAAAAAAGGTATGTTTCGTTAGCTACTTCTGAGGCGCCGAATATTCAGAAACAAGGAGGCAGCCTCAAACCTATCCCATTTTCCTGATCTTCATTTTAACCGAATGAATACCTAAGTGAAAAACAAGTTCCAGTGTGCTCCAGACAGTCTTCTCTATATAATCCCGGCGCATAGTTAACCTAGATTACTGATATTGCCTTGCAATCGGAAACCAGCTGCCAAGGATAGATACGCCATTTGCATTAGTTTAAACAGCTACCGTCTAAGAAGTACGGCATATCACCCACTTTTACGACCGCAAACATGGAATAATTTGTTTAGACATTCTGCATTCAGTCAGACTGACTGAGTATTTGAAATCGGATGCTCGTGAAAAAAACGATGAAAAATTATAGAAAATATAGGCAAACGTAGCATTCCTGAGCGCCAGCGACTCGCATTAGGAGAATAATCCACAAGCAATGAACCATGGTGTGCTGCATGAGGTATTAAGCACACAGGGAACAGTGAACGGCCCGAGTGGAAGTGGAATAATTCAAGGTCTACTTGATAGCCATGCGGAATCTAAATAATTGTTGGGAAAGGTTCCCCAAAGTACAGGTCGACTCGGCACGCTGTTTACTGTTCTACCTGGGCTTAAAATTCCTCTGCATACTTTCCATCAAGATCACAAAATTTATCATGCTTGAAGTAGATAGATGATCGATGTAGAACATTGAGCAGGCCCCGGCAAACTTCCCAAACGATGGACCACTGGATGCGAGTCCATTCTAGTCCATTCAATTCTTGATATAACAGAATTTCCTACACTTATACGGCTGTTGATACTGACAGCAACTTTGTTTTTTCCTCATTTAAATTGTCAGTGCACTTAGTTAGCTTCAGGGTGTCGATAAACCAGGGCGTTTTGAGAACTGTTGCAAGAAGTCAAATCTCGTGAGCGTAGTTTTCTGACGTTACGTCAGTTCCCTCATACTCGTTCACAGCGTACACCAAAAGAAAGGTACGAAGACTGCTACGTTTTTTCTCCAATATCGACTGACCTGTATCTAGCGACGAGTAGTTTGTGCGCTGAACAAGTCTTTGGGTATATGGATATTTCTCATGACAGTTAGATAGGGTTTTTTACACGTTTTCACAAAGTAACTGAATAGATAATGCATTTAATACACAGAATCCATCATGTTTTTAGAACATAAGCCATGCATTTCATTCATTCGGGTCACATTTAGGCCCATTTATCGTTTAAATTGTGCGTAAGATTCACTGGCCGCCCCAACGGAGATTAACAGCAGGTATATTCAGGAGTTTCTAATGTCTCGTTAGTGTATTTGACCAAACATTCTGAATAGCTGAGCTGGAGAAATGTTTCTGTAGATCCTTTGCAACCGTCAACTAGCGGGGCAGTTAGCCAACTGCTCACATTCAACGTGGTGATCTACAGTTCTTGGCAGACATCTGATTGAAAGCTTACTCGGTAGTCCCGTCGTTCTTGCATAAAAATGAAAGTATGAAGACCACGTGACTAGCCACTTTAGACCAGATCTTCAAGTTGAAAAGAAGTTGGTTTTAAAAAGCTACCAACAGCTGTCGACACAAAGCTTAGTACAGTGGAAGCAAATTGTAATTGATGGTTTGCTTCCTAAAAGACATCAAAATGCAGTTAAAGTCCGCGTAAGCAGTTCTGCTAATTCGAGAGGAAGGCTTTAATCAATTGTTCTTACGGGATTAACTAAAAGAGTAAGTCAGAGGGAGAACAAAAAAGTGACTAGCTGTCCGTTTTTCGAAAGAAGTCTTACGAGCAGGTTTTTTTTCACAGTACTTATTACACTTTCTATCCCCCACTAATAGGCCAAACAAAACAGACCTATTGTTCCAAACCGAAATGTATATTGTTTAATACTAAAACTTATGCACATTCATCGAAAGTTGAGAATTTAGTGGAAAGAGAGGTTTGAGTGGTCCGTTGTGACAATTCAAAGGAAATTCTTTGGCCATTTCCAATGTTTAATATCCGCTGAACATGCTCTGCTTCCAAAACGTTTATGAACAGACGCCGACTCAACGAAAGAGGGCCTGTCAGATTGTTTTATTCGGAAAATTCAAGTCCTTGTATAACACATTCTGTGCGCAACCCAAAAAATACTTTCCGAATATCACAAAGATTGGTAACGTGAAAGTTGTTAAATGTCTTGCGGATGAAATGAGCATTTTGCAAGTCTTATAAACGCGTCTAGACAAATTGATATGATTGGCTAAAATGTAAATCATTCACTGTCAGTTGTTGCCGATCGATACGTATTTTGCTTTGATTTCAGCACTCGTCCAAAACAAACCTCTATATCAGGGGGTTGGCACCCACATTCACTGAAGAACAACTGCATACTCTGGCTCCAGATAAGGAACTCATTCGGTCCGTAAAGCTTATCGCAGGAACAGAAGGAGAAAGTAAGCGATCGTAAGAATGAATTACTTGTGGCCTTCAACTTTGTATTCAGTGGTACTACATCCGAAACTCAGAGTGACTATTGAAACTTCCTTCCAAAAGTGCCGCGCATTTAAATGGGAGTGCTTGATGTCAATGCACAGAGCTTGATAAAGGATTTCAGGATGCTTTTGCCCTTCAAACCTTCAGAACCAGTTTGTTGTCTGCATTAAGAAATGGAGTCTACCACTTTCGACCAGCTGCTTATGTCATCATTGATATTATTTAGCACGCGAAAGGTTGCCAATCATCCCCTGTTTTCTGTTTTGCTTAACTCTATTTGGCGAAGCATGGGATGTCATATCCACAGCCTTCTCGTCAATAGATACCTTACTCTGAAGGACAATCAATAGACTGCATTTGTGATACTAGTCGCAAGCTCATTCCATCTTCTTCCTGAAATAGGTTTAAGTTAATGCAGTGTTTGTCTATTCGATTACGTGTTTTTATTTGGATTCAGCGTATGTAAACACTCGAGTCAATTTTGTAGACTTTCGTGTGTGTGCGATCATGCCCAGCCTGGTCAATTAGCTGGTGATGGGACAAATCATGCGTATCGCCGAACGGTAGCATTAACTTCTACTGGAGTTTGCATGTGTTTCACTGCTAGTCGTTTGTAGCCAGGAGTTCAGACTGCAAATATGATAAGTGAATTAATTTTACGACTGCTACCAATCAGTGCGGTTGGTAAAGCATTACAGGAAGTCTAGAGCTCAGTCTTTTTATCCAAACAGAGCTTGCTGGCCCAGTGTACTGGTGAATTTAATCAGTAGACGGACAAGATGGATGTTCTTCTCTGACTATAAGTAAGGTACTTAAAGTTAGTACGTTCTGCACAGACAACACCCGTTTAGGACAGATGGTAAAAATTTTCCTAACAAGGAATTTGAATGCAGCTGCACGTTTTTTTATTGTATTCAACGCTTCGTCATTGCATTGAAAAGTGATTTGAAGTTTATGTTCGGAGCTAATTAGTGTAGTGGTTCTCTCTGCTGAACACTGAGCAATAAATAAAGGTCCACCTATTAGAGTAGTTCAAAGCACATATTGTTCAAAGCTCTTTCTTGAATTCTGGCATCCTCCAGTGTACGGCTTCATCGATTTCATAAGCAACGCCGCTGCGAGAAGCGCCCTACTCCATATCAAATCAACCAACCGAGAATTGTATGTGAATTTCGCATATGTAAGTTTTCCGCATATAACGTTTTGTGTCCGTATTTGTACCCTTCATGTTATGTACGAAAAAAGGAGAAAAGTTCGCTTAAACTATCGCGGTTTTCATTTTCATAAAATTTACTTTCTGATTCTGCCTGCCGGCTCAAATATTTGGTTTTATTATACAGGTTATATATCAAGAGCACGTTTTAAATGTACACCATGCAAGCGAAAAAATATTCAGATTCTGCACGCACAGTATTTTTAAGCGATTGTATTAATGGGATGAGCTTTCGAAACTTTTGTTGAAGATTTTGTCCTATGAGTGAAATCAATCTATGTTAAGAGCCGAGAACCACTGCAAAGCTGTTTACTCCTTGTTGGAAATCATCAACTGCGTGCATCTCACAAGACTCCTGGGAGTATCTTAGTAGTTTGAAAGGGAAATAAAATTCGCCCGATGAGTTAGATCTCAGTTAATGTCATCACTCAAGGAGGCAGTCAAAACGCTGACACGGCATAAATTCCGTGATTGAAGAATGAGGGGGCACTTTATCGCCTCTAAGTTTGGTTTGATCACAATGCTTAGCAGCCGCTTGTGTGTGGACTACTAGCTGGGAGGTCGTGGATTCAAAGATCTTTACTAGAGTTTCATGATTCCCGATAAGAATGAGACAGAGTGTTCTTTGACCTTTCAGCATAGCCTGGCTTTACCTACAGCATGAAATCTGCATTAAAATTTCAAGTATTTTTCCCGAAGCGTTTCTAATTCTTTGCCTTTGGACACCGGTGCAAAGCCCGTCTGATTTTACAAGAACTTACTATCAACAACTACACAAAAGTGGACTAACGGCCTGAACTTCAAACACAGTCAAACAAAGAGCAAAATGATAAATAGGAAGCCAGAGAGATTTGTGACCTAGAAACTTCCACTTTTGTATCATAATCCACCAACAGAAGATAGGTGAACCGAATTGTTTGTGTGGTTTAAATAGACTATGAAATTCAGTCGTTCAAAATCTGCGGCCAGGCAAAAATTCAGCTTTGATTTTATGTCACAAGTTATTTTGAGGTGTGACACAACGCAAGCGTTCCACGATACCTGTCTTCTCTGCCTTCGCCAAAAAAATTCTAAGCAGGAACCTGGTTCCATCTATTTGTTTGACCCTTGAATATTTGTCAACATCAACTCTAATGTTCAAGAGATGCTCGAAATCAAAGCAAAATATTTACAACTCGGAATCGGGTTGTGAATCTGCACCAGTTTTAATATTCTTTTCGCTGGATGGATGGGCTATGAACAAACAAAAGAGAGTTCTGTGAACGGGAAACCTCCCTACTTGCCACCATAAAGCGCCCGGGATACAAACGGATCGTTGCACTATTTAGTTTGCACAGTTCAAGAGCGAACGTTGAACACTTAACAAGTGACAGAGTATGCCACGAAAACAAACCTGTGGAATGCCACTGAATGATTGAACCTGTAGTAGGTACCAAGTGGTTGATATTTCCATAATGTCATTTCTAAAAATATACACTGAGAAACTTCCACCTGTGATTTAACATTGCAAGTCCTGCTGTCTTGCTTCAATTTTTTCTCCTGGACATCATGTTTAGGTTGCAAAACTGTAATCAAGATAGAGACCAATTGTTTGGTGAGATAAAAATAGACTGGAAATGTGAGAGATCGGTTCAACAGTACTTCACATGACTCGATGTTTGTCCAAAAAAAGCCAACTTCTTTCCGTGAGCAGCCTGGGGTTTCGACGTAGTTTTCAAATAAAAATTGTTTGTTGACGGATATGCAAACCTCTCATAATTTTCCAGCTGGCAACATTTATCTTTTATTCTGTGATACTAAGCAAACAAGGTAAAACCTACTCGACAAAAGTTGCGGAATTTTATGTGAAATATTTGAAAAGTGCACCTTTTGTTGAAAATGGAAAGTGATTTGGGATATTTCACAACTTATTACTAATTTGTCGCATGCATTCCAAAATTTATTGATTGAAATAGGTGCTAGAGTCGAAGATATCGTGTGCTCACTAAGTTCGCATGTGATGGTTGATGTTAATATCTGACTGATTTTGTCATTATGGGTGTCGCTAAATTCTTGACTTCTTAAGCTAACAATACTTTAGTCAGCTTTGATATTCCAGACTCAGCGGGTCGGGCTGGTCCCGTCAAGTAGCTACCTCTTAATAGCCTATTGATTCGCCTTGTTGTAGATGTGAGTATGCATGTAAGTGAGGCTCTGGTTATACAATACCGTAGATGATTGAGCACACAACTTGGACAAAGAAAGAGTTGCGTAGTCGTGGGCCGGAGGCTTGATTGCTCACATGGAGGAGACGACAGAGGGACGAACGTCATATGTGGAATCATACCGTCGACGGATTCACGACGCCCGTTTATAAAAAATCGATACTTAATGCTATTCACTGAGATTTGGGAATTTTGATGTTGCTGAGCTGGATTATGATTTCCTCCAGCTGTCCAAGCTTTATCGGACAAATATAAAACGGAACGAAATATGGAGCTCCTTGATTCATAAAACAACTTCAGCCAAGAACACATCCTTGCAACAGCAACCACGGTTGTACTCGTCCGGTTGCTGCTGGGTTCAACCAACAAATGATCTTCCATGATTCGGAGTTCGATCACATTTGTGGATCCCACCACTCCGTTTATCAACAATAATTGGCTTATCTACCTTTATTGCGTAGCATTCCTATTTTCGAAGGAAAAAATGGGCTAAATATGCATGGAAAGTTTTCGGTACAGAGAAACCAGAAGTGAATGTAATGAGCCTGAATTCCGGAAAATCATATACGGATATGTGGGCTTCCCATCGTATGTCGTATGAAATGAGCTACAAGAAGACATATCACCACAACTGAATGTTTGCATTTCATACGAAAATGCGTTCACATATAATAAAGTTCATAGTCTAGACTGTTGTTATCCAACTGTAATTTTTGTTTTATCCAACTGTAGGTCATTGTCACCATATACAAAATTAGAAATTTACTTATGTTCACAAAAGTTACCAGTCATATTGAAGACTGGTCAGCAGAATTTGGAATGAAATAGATAGAAGTCAAAGCTGGGTAATAGCAACAATTTTGTGTACCTATTAAGTTGAGATTAATACGCGCCCAACTCTCATTTCAGGTTTTTCTTAAAAATTGAAAAAAATTAGCGGATAGTTCTATGGTCACTTCAATTAAAAATCTACTTGAGATCCAATAGAAATCTTAGTGTAGTGAGTACTTTTGTGGCACTCTAAGTAGGCTAAAGAAAGATGACCTATTGGAGAAACCAAAACATGCCTCACCTATTCCACGCATTCGGATGGATAAATCGTAGTCAAAAAGCACTTTTATATGTATTTTCAACTATTTGTTGACGAAGTACAAGTGCAATTCTTCCACCGTCTTCAAGGAATCGGAAAAGGATCCACAAAATGTCTACATAACAAACATCCCAGAAACCTGGACAGCCAGCAATGTGGAAGATCTAAAGAAGATTTTTCAACAATATGGACCGATAGCCACTGCGATTGTGATGACAAAACGTTCGAATAACTTTTGCACAGGTAAGCGGAATTCCAAATATATTTGAGATTGCCACAGATTGCCCCCTGGATTTATTGTGGCGTTATTTCATATAACCACTGAATACTTTTCTTACAAGTATGTTCAAAGAGGGTTTATCATGCAGTTGGACAAGACAAGAAAAAAATCAAAATAGACGGCAAAAGAATCGGGTGTTGACCTTAACTTTTTAGTCCGTCTGTCGGACCCGCATGTCAGTGACAATTATCTGGATCCGCACGCTTTTAGGTCAGACCTGCCCCCATATTTTTCAGCCATTCTGGCTATAACTGGGACATTTATCAGATGTACAATCCAAATGAAATAAGTGAAAATATCTGACATTTACTGTTGAAGTAAAAACAATCGCTCTACGGTAGGTTAAAAATTGAACTTCATCCGACGGGGTGGTAGCTTGTAACGATGAACGTTGATAAAATATATTTTTTCAGGGAGTTCTGCTTTCTAAATGCCACAATTCCCCATAGGTAACATATGGCTCAGGTGGTCATGTTTATGGCAGCTGGAAAATGAAACTGGAATTTGCCGATTTAGTATTTCTTTAGTGCACATGAAAGCATAATCTAACCAACTAGGATTGACAAACACAAAAACGTTTATTGGAGTGCTACTTTTTCCTAAGGCCTCTAATAGCTATTCACCAAGGACATATTGCTCTAAATCCTTTACGTAGTTAGTTGTTCATTCTGTTAGTGCGGTTTAATAATGTTCACTGCAGCGATATTTACAAAAGAGCATAAATCTTCTCACAGCGTATTATTCAACACCCTTATGGCAAGGAGTACAAATTTCTATATTTTAATTAAACTATTTTGCTAGAGTCCGATTCCATCAGCAGCAGTACTGGAATCGTTTCGTGCTCAGAAGAATTCGAGCTTGCGTGGACTTGGCTCGGAAAACAATTCGCACTACCGTTATCCAACAAAAAATTTCTGGTTTTCGGATGTATGTGCACTGCTTAGTCGGTTAAGCCAGCACATTGTTTAGCTATTTCCACCTACAGACACTAGGTACTGAGAGATTGTGAATTTCAGGCGCTAAACTAACATCTCTCGGATATCAACACTGACTTATTAGCGATAGCTGAAAGAATTCTCCAACCGGAGCATAACTAAGATAATCGCTTTCTTGTTAGGGGTTATCGCAACGCGGAGTGGAATCGTGACGCGCTTCGGTTCATCTTACAGTCCAGAAATGTGCAGTAAAGATTTCAGGTTCAATAATTTCCAATCAAGTATTGGTGTCTTCTTGTCCACTTAAGACATGTTATGTGATAATCTATATTGCACCATTTCTCGAGTTTCCTCAAAAACAGTAAGTGATGAGGTCAAGTGAACGCGGTCAGTTCTTCGGTTGTCCTCATTCGGAAGATTTCACAAGCGTATCGTAACTTATCGCAAACCGGATGCCAAACAACCTGTAGGAGCTAATGTTACTTTTGAGGCAACAATTTTATTCCGGTAAACGCTGTTCAAGATGAAGCCGAAAGAAGGTTCGGTAGAAGTAAATAAATTATTACAGTTTAGGGAATCTTGGATGTGTAGCCTATTTTAAGGCTTTTGTGAGTATTCTGGTACAGATTTTATTTGACCGTTTGTTTGCTTTCAGGAGCGGGTTTTGTTCGGTTTGTCAGAGCGGAAGACGCACAAAAGGCCATTGAAGGAATTCGCCAGGCCCAAGTGACCCTGGACGGTGGTAAAGGGCCCTTGGAAGTAAAACTGGCTGATCGACAAAAACCACAAGAGGAACAAGCTAAGTAAGTCCTTAATGTCGCGCCTACGTCATTCGTCTGCGATCTGACCTTTTACTGTGCTGCATATCCCCTTTTTTATGTATCTGCTGTTAAGAGAAATAGGGTTATTTGGCCTCACTTTCAATGGATGTTCTTCACAAGTGAATCAATTTTAATTTGCCTTACACGACTAAAACACCCACTGACTGTTTTTAATCATGTCTGAAAGACGAATGTGACGTGGGACATTGGGGCATGTAGTCCAAACTGAAGTGGTGTGAGTGCAGGCTTTTATCCTCGAAAGGAAAACAAGTAAACAGTGTAAGTTTTTTGTAATGTTTTGAGTACCTTGTTAAGGCGTTTTAAAATCCAGTGCGATTATGTTCCAAGTATGGTCACTAATATAGTCCTCATTATGTAATCGATTTCTAAGGCATGATTTTTGTTGGATTTCAAAGAATCATGCTTGAAATTTCTTGTCCTATTTTGGCGTTGAATAACTTACGAAACCTCTGAAGCTACTAGCTGTTGATCCATTTAGAAAACGGGTGGATAATGAAAAACAGGCTCTCCTATGAATAAGGATCAATTCCCACCCAGTAACTCGAGATCTAACGGCACGCTTGCTAAAAACAGTCTACTTTCACTCCACTAATTATGACACCTCAACTATATTCATTCACTTGTGTGGCTTTGTTTTGCTTGGTTAGTTAACTGTTCAATCTGCATACCACAAATTTGTCAGGCTTTGTTTTCAGACGTTTTTCATTTTTGTATATGGATTAAAACAAGTAAACTATAGGCCAGCACACTGTTTGCTTTCACCACAGTGTAACCGTTCCAAAAAACCTTAGAATGATCCAGAACGTTATGGTTAAACGGTTTTCGTAGCGTGAATATTGTGATGTCAGTAAAACAAATCAATTTGAGAAAGTGCCGTATGTTTTATTACAAAACTAAGAACTTAGATTTGATCAAATCGCAGCAAGGTCAAAGGTTTGTTCTCGGTGATTTCCTTGATAAACAGCATGAAGAACACACAACTTAACAGAAAATGTCTAAGGTACCCTGAAAACTTTTGTTATACATCCTCTGGCATATGAAAAGTATGACCAGTACAACATGTGCACTGTTTTTGCCGTTCAAAACAGCTTAACAAAAGCACGCCCTCAGAAGCCTGTCAACGATGGAAGTTCTGCGTATGGTCAAGAAAGTCGGAGCGAACATTCTCAAGAATCTCACCACCGACAACAATCGAATCCAATGAATCAGAGAAATGCAAGTTGCCTCTTACCAGGGGAATCCGTTCCTCCATTAATAGGCCCGGTTACCAACGCAAATCGATCGGTTCATGGAGCTATGGGCATGGGGCTTCTATCCACTCCGAACCAAACAAATTCTGCCAGCTTGTCTGCAAGACTGCCGAATCCTAACTCAATCACCATGGCCATTCAGGCTGCCCTGGCATCCAACGCATTCATAAATCAGACAATGTTCATGCATAATCAGCTGAACCCGCTAAACTTTCAAGTGGCGCTTGGACCGGATAATTCCCCCGTCACCCAAACTGGCCTTCTTTCTTACCCGGCTCCACCACTACCTGGGCTGTTTTCCCAAACGCGCGGTGGACCACGCAACGTTCCAGCGATTACAAATACACCCGGGGTTATCCAAAGCCATCAAAATAACTCCGGAATGTTTCCCACACCCGCAAGTTTAATTCCAATTTTACGAACGGTAGACGACGTTCCTTTCCCAGCTGCATCGATCAATATCTCAGGAACACCGCATAACAATGTTTTAAGTCACGGTGAGTCATTCATTTTACCGGCGGTATGATTGATACGCTTAAGTCGCTATAAGCCTAGGTTGACTGAACGAAGTTGTCAGTGGGTATTGAGCAAGCGAAAACAGTAGGGCTATAAAACAGAAACTGATTACAACATCAATTGCCATGTGCGGACCAGTATGCTAATTGACTGAAGTGCAGACCAAACTGAACGGTCATTGAATTGACGAGTTTACTGCAGCCCAAAACATACCGGTTCTGATAACTTCCAAAATTTTGTTTTGCAACTCGGAAAAGTCTGCGTACTAAACTCTCACAAAGTGAACAGGCTGAACAAATGTTCATGTTGGTTTTAAACTGAGTTCGAACAACCCAGTTGAAAGGCAAATGAAAAATGTTTCGGAAACGTGGCGTTGTATAATACTGCATACCACCTATCGAATTCCTCCAACACTAATCCTTGCGATCCATATGCTGCAAGTGGGGTGATAATTGGTACATATGTGATTATGTAGCCTTTGTGGTTTACTGGGAGGAAGGACGTTCTGTGGCATATTATGGGCACGAACGGTCAGGTTACATTGAAAACGTAAGCCGCTATGTGAAAACATTTGTCAGCACAAATTATTTCACAGTTGAACACATTTTCTGCTTGGTGCATACCGGTACACTAATCGTATCAACTCGAGTGAATGTTCTGTATTGCTCAACCTGTTGCGGAAATAACGGTTATGCTTCTGACTGTGTTGACCAGAATCACTTGATGAAAAGTTAATGAGCAGGCGTACTAGGCTCGGCTTGGGTAGCTTTTCATCGCCCGGAGTATAGCACTTGAGGAGCCGTCACAAATTTTACTCTGAATATAGGTTTTATTTACTTTTGCTGTCCTGACTTAATTCTAGCTAACATTGGCAGAATGGGCAGCCAGCGAACTATGTCAAACACGGGCGTGTTTGTGACATTTCAAATACCACAATGTTCTCCGGACAATTTCTATGCTTCCGAATACTTTGCGGATCAATCTAATCCAAAATAATTTACTTTGCATATGAATGCGCAAATTATGGTGACCAAAATAATATGAAAATAAAAGTGGTCTTGCGTCTCAACTGCATATTTCAGTAGCTAAAACATGTAGGAGGTAAAATGTTCCTGTTTCAAACGTAAATATGGTTACCATGATAAAAAATTGAAATGCATTGTAAAGGTGTAATGAAATACATCACAGTTAGCCAAATACTATTTGCGACAATATGTTCATTCTGTGTTTGATTCCGAAGGAAACTGACACGAGAGATTCACGATCAGTTGTTTTTTACACACTGTTATCAACTACAGAACATGTGAAGCAGGATAGAATAAGCAAAATTAGCAATCAAGTTTACAATCAGTTTCTAAGCCTTTTAGCCGTAATTCGGTATTTTGTCTATTTTTGCAACCGACGTTGATGTAAATGAGGAACCTGACTTACTGAATGACTTCGGTAAGAAAAATATCCAGGAGAATTATAGTTAATATGAAGAAGCTAAGCCGAAAGTAACTGACTGTTTTAGAAGGCCCATCAATTTCTCGCTTAAATACGGTACCTAGATGCCATCTGAACAGCCACCAGTAGGTGACTGTCAGACAACCAACGTAGAGATCTCAAATGCGAACCAGAGTGTACCTTGTATTCCACATTTTTCACTGTCGTTTGCAGTGATTGTTGGTGGTTTCTCATCTTACACAAAATATGACTACATGTTCACCACTGGTGCCAAATTGCATGAAAAACATATGTATCAAACCCGGTGGAATGCTAAGACAAACACCGACGTATTAGGTATCTTACAGATTTAGAACGATCACAACATAATCGTTTGTGATGTCATTCTAGTCCATCGCACATACACTTTCAGCATGATACATTGTTTTTAACGATCAACTCATATTTCTGTTTCCGTTTCAGCTATGCACCCGCCCAATAGCTGGGGAGCGTCTCCATTGATTCCTGGTCTATTCGCATCTATGTAATTGATCAAGAAGGGATGTCTACAAAGAAAGAAAAAATGTTGGTCAGCCAAATACGGTTTTATTGACTGATAGAACCAATGCTCAGAGAACGTGCAGAATCTTGTGGCAGTGTAACCTTTGATTTCGATGCTTCCACATTTCAGCAGGCCTTCGAATAATCCGATGAGTCACGCAAACAAACACCATCAATCATTTCGCTGGAAGAGGATTTTTGGAAAATGTAGCTCCGTGAAGATGTATTTCTGCACGATCTCTCATTAATCTTATGATACACTGGCAGTGATGACCTTTGTATGCATACGTTGTAACGGTATTCCGAATCACTAAAGTATCTGCAAACCGAATTCACATCATGACACAAATTCGATCAAGGTATTTTTTTCTTTTCTGGCCGTGTCCCGAAAATGCATTTGTGATTGCCACCTGTATAGTTGCATCAATTATTAGTAGTGGGCGGCACCATGTAGAAAAGAAAAGGTGGCACAGATGAGGTTTTTTTCTTGTTCTTCAGCGCGTTTGCTTTTCCTGTGACGTTTTTTTGTGTTGAAACGTACGCTATTTTTCATCACCCTTGATTTTCGCAGTTCCGAAACATTAGATTGTCTCTGCTCTGTATGTTTGAGATGAATTTGGCCGAATCATGGTTGTGTTTATGTTGTTTCGTGTTAGTATGGTTCAGAACATACAGCGTACTTGATAACCAGAAGTGCAAAGACGATGAGGTTCAATTATTGTCTCTAGTTGGTTTATTTTTCTCCTTACATGTGACCAATATCTCTGTTCACCTAGAGCAATACTAATGAATTTGTTCTTGAATAAAGTGCATCTTTTTGATTAACGAGAACATTTAACGATTGACGTCTTTTATTATTGCTTTTTCCTTGCGTCCATGACGTTGGATTTTTAGTGCCCTGAAACCAAGGATCTTTGAGCAGCCAAAATCACTGCCTGTCCGCTCTTAAGAAATGTAAATTTGGGCGCCAAATTCACACCAGAACTGCTGAAGCCCTAGTGATTTCTTTCAGTGCGGTGCTCCTCATAGCCTATATTAAACAGAGTTCGACAACTATCCCTGTTTGCACGGAATTTCGTTTTGACAGTAGACCCAAATAAATCTAGCTGATGGTCCGTAGACGCTGACGATCATAAACGGGAGATGAGCTGAATTAATTTGCTTTCAAAACCAAATTCCTATGAAACTGAGGTTTTTTTTCAGAAAGCATTACTTTCGCTCACATTCGCGCTGCAAAAACCCTTTTGATAAAAGATTTAAACATGGATTTCACAACCCAAGATTGTCGGCCAAGTGGTGAATTTCAGCTACACAAGACATGGTGCTACTAGATTGTTGTTGTTGTAATTTTGCCTAACTTCTTCCGCTGAATACGTTGCTTCAGATTTATGCATACCTGCTGCATTTTCAAACAAGTCCTGATGTGACATAACTTGCCTACGGACGTTAGCACCGGGTGACAGTTCGACTAAAAATTGACTGGGATGTGAGGGGATTCTGTGTCTTCGTTGATCTGGAATAACATGATATGCCAGCTGGTTGTCAAATATGTATGGCGTCAGTATTTTTTAAAGCACATTCCACGATAAGTTTGAATTCGTTTTTGAATAAGCAACTGCAGCGTAGGGTTTATTTTTCAAGTATTCAAAGGATGCATGCAACTGAAAAGTAGATGCTAACTGACCATGCCGTAATTCGGTGGGAGATTTGCCGATGGCCCAAAAAAACGTAAACCGTAGGGTTAAGACGTCTCATTCGTCCGCGTAAGGCCGTTTGATGAAAGCCCTGAGTTGAATCGATACGAAATCTAAGCATTCTTGTTGCAAGTCCTAAAATTCTTAAACTTCAAACCAAGATGCCCGCAGTTATTTGTAGCACTGAGTTTCATGACTGCGACAAAACATTTCTTGTTGAAACGATCCGTTCTTATATTTCTAGCGAAACACTCAGAGAGTTTAACAGGACCATTTTATTATTTGAGTCAGGTGACTTAAGGAGACCTCAAGTTATATGAATTGCAAGATTTTACCTTTTGTTGTAAGCATTCAACTGCTAATGACCTACAAGTAAAAGCAAGCGTTTACCTGCATTTACTTGTCTTTCAGTCTTAAGTAAGCGTTTTAAAGGCAGCTTCTGTATCGCCCTTCTAAAGGGTTACATGATACTGCCAGGTGCCGTTAAGCACAAAATCAGCGAAATTGTTGGCAAATCCTGGAGTAACTTAGATACTACCCAGGTAGGCTTCATATCTACTGAAAAATGATCCATTTTCGGACGCACGTTTTATAGGGTCTGCTCAACAAGAAAGCATTCACTATTATTTTGTACAGCAAAAAAATACTCTGATAGTTTCAACCTCCCGCCTCGTGAAAGCTGTCTACCACACACTTGTTGCTCAGACATGCAGTTGACCAGAGCAAGATCTCAGCGGGCGTTGCTGTTGATGAACGCGACCAACAGAACTACGGAAACTTCTTGTCAAGTTCCTTTAAGTGTAGTGTGCCGCACAGTAAATTCCTAACAGAACTCCTAAGCAGTGTGATATGGATAGTTCAGAACCCCAACTCCATCGTTGAGGATGAGCAGTTTCGAATCTCTGGAGAACATGAAAAGAAACTGGACCAATGAAGGTGAAAAGCATCAGTTATTATGCTCTCAAAATAGCAGTGCGAAAAATTGCTGTATACCTAGATTTTTAACACAGCTCCTGCTTATCCACGGATGTATATGAAGAAAATAGTATCAACTTGAAAGGCAAAGTGACAAACAGAGACCTCACCGTCTAGGGACTCTTGGTTACCTAGCTCCAGTTGCCTTCTGTGTTAAATCTTGAAAAACAGTCCACGTCTCAGCAGCTGTTGAAGATCGTGCTTTTTTGATGAGAGGATTATTGATCAAGCAATAGATACATTTATAGCATTGCTTACAGCCAAGGGAGAAACTAACTGGTAAGTAAGAAAACACATAGGGGAGATTTTGTCTAAAAATAAAAATGACCATTGTCATCAGAGGGAAACCTGGGGTCTTCAAATGCTTAGTTAGTGATCTGAGAATGCTTGTCTTCTGGAGGCTTACTTAATTAAAAAGTAACATGTAGTTGCAAAGCCCTACAGAGTAATCTCTGCCGTGACAAACAGGCCTGTACGTGATGGCTCGGCCATAGAGTCCCTTCGGGCTTGTTTCGTGTTCACAGATTCACCAGAAATACTGCTCAACGTAAAACAGTTTTGTTATCATAATTACGGGTAGCAGTCGTAGGGGTTGTCGGTGCTGGCAGGCAGATCCTCATCGATAACCAACCAACCGAACAGAAGGTTGCTCCCAATGAACCGTCCAAATAAACTTCCCGAGAGTCAGTCTTTCACTACCGGAGGTTTCATCTCCTAGTCCACTAACCGACCAGCTATCCGTTGTGGACCCTCAGCCACCGTGAGAGCAAATTACAAGTAACAAATTTTCACCTTGGTTTTAAATTCGCAAGACAGCTGCATTCAAGGTGGATTCCCAATCAGTAAAAACATTGTAAGCAATCATTTGTACACAATGTGTCATCTCCTTATTGAGTACAATGCTCCTAAAAACTTGAAATGAACGGTGCTGGCACCCTCAATAACGACAGGACAGGGTGTACTTTGCCCTAATGTTGGTGATTCTATTTGATATCGTTCCAAATGCATTGCCAGCATGTGTACGCAAAACAAGGTGACTGATGTTAAAATGGAGACTTTTAAATGGTCGTGTCCAGATACATGGTACTTTCGCAATTCTTGATTGAACTGAAGTGAAAACGAAAAGCTGATGGTTTCCTAAGTTGTCTTTTTCAAACTGAAAACCAACAGAGGAAAAATCAGTTGTACTTTATACACGCCGTCCCCGACAGGTTGACTTTCATCCGGGATATTCGGATATCATTCTTGTCTTTTTGCAATGCCACGTTAATGATACCCATAGATTATTTTGTAGATGTATACCATTTTACCAGGAAGATGGGTATCTGAATTTGTGGGAATGGGTTGTGAACCGGTACACTGATTTGGCTTGGACCCTAAGTTAAAAGGTGATATTTTACCCATCACCGATATGTGACATTCGTAAAGTATTCCTAATGTGTTGGGTGGGTGGTAGTCCGTTCACTACTGTCAAACACTCATCCATATAGTGCTTAAAATTAGGCCTAAATGTGATGTTATTTAGACGATGTGAGTGATATTTTCTTCTAAAGAGAAGCAGTAGGTGTGAGTTCACAAACCTGTCGGGTTCCACATGGAACAACATTTCGTAAAGTTTAAATGAAGTGCTCTAAAGCCCTCTTACATTAAGCAGTGAAGAAAATACCGCAAAGAATGAAATCTTTCACAACATGACCTCATTTTCTGGAGGAATGCGTACTTTGACGAGTTTCTGTGCATCGCCCGCTGAATACCAGCCAAATGACTCTGCAGCAGCGCCTCCGTCGATTAAACGGAATGAGGCAATGGCTTACATAAATAACGGAAGAATTATCCAACGAGTGCAGACGTTGGTTTAAAATTTGGTGATTAGCTTACAATTCTCTTAGGGGACTTAGGATTTTGAATCATGTCTACTCGGAAGCATCAATTATGAGATGGTGGCACCGGAATCCATTCACGGAACATCAGGAGACAACATGGTTTCTTTGGTAACCAACAAGTATCAAGTCGTTACTCATAAATTTTCATGATTTGGAGATAGTGCTAGTGTTTACTGTGGTACAATGTGCCTCCTTGTAGTATCATTTTAGTATTGTACGATCATGAACCTTTATAATTGTTACGATGAAAACATACGAGTACCAGAAAATAAGCGTTTAGTAATAGAGACGGGAATTAGCTGATGCTATCATCACTATAACGCCATCCATCACCAATCATACTCCTCAACGCCTTTCCAAATTGAGTTCGAAGATGAGAAGCAGTGCGGGTGTCTTTATCTTAACTTAAAATGAGACTTTTTAACCTAGTGTGGTTTTTGAGTTGTTTTTTCAAGTCAGAATTTTCCTGATAACACTCTCAAATCCATAGATTAATCGTGTATTTCAACGGGTTTCTACTTTTTACCGGGTGTCTTATTCGAAATTTTCCGTTAGTAAATATGGATATTACATTTTAGCAGTTATACATTATTCGATGTGTTTCCGCTACTAAGCGGCTACAGTAGAAAATAGTGTGCTGCAATACTACTAATTCTTTGGAGTATACGTCAAGCTAAGTTGACCGCTTACTTTTTTAAAATTGTGTTTTTCTTTGCATGGAACTAGCCATCTCTCATCAAGATGTTTTGCTCATATATGGTGCATTTCCTCCTTCAAGTAGTAGATAAAACCAAATGATTTATATAGACGAGTTCAAAAATTCTGGAAGTAGTGTTTGTGAAACATCGAGCTAATTTCCTTTCCTCAGGCTCATTTCGATTCCAATCCCGGTAGATTACTTTCCTGTAATTAGTTTGCACTTCACTGACAGGAACTCCGTTACTCATCGCACATATCAAGTACGAGACCTAGCAGGCCAGAATCATAATCTGCGTTTATTACGACACTTGCCAACTAACGAGTGACAAAAAATATTGATTTTCAAGCCTTCTTCTATCTCATGCAAATAATCACGTTAACGTAAACAAAATTTTCTAGAATGTCACAAGCAAACCACTTGGAGTTTTAATAGGTGGTCGGACTATCGGTAACCGTTTTTTTCATTCCCAACAGTGAGGTTTCATTTCTCTTGAGTTTTTTTACTTCCAAACTCTA